AAAATCAGGCAAAGTGAAACTAAAATAGTGGCCCGGCCACAAGTCAAGCGCATTACAGGTGCGTAGTCAGGGTTTATCAGCTATCCGCCCTTAGCAGAAACACCCCCCTGATCAGTTGGACAGAGCTATGTTCGATGGGAGTGTTCATTTTGTTGGTAGCGATGAGACGGCATGCGTTAATTCGTAGTCGTTCGTGAACCAGTGATGCGCAGTAAATACCCAAGTAACACCTGTTGCTATGAAAATTGCGCCCTCTCCTGGTCCAGCTCCGAGCCAATAGTTGCAAGGTGGAATTGTTGTCCCGTTTAGGTGATATTGTACACATGGGGCCACTTAGACACTAAGTAATATTACTGTCTATTTGGGGTCTGTGCTATTAACACCGTATCCAATGCTTTACACCTGTTGATACCGTTCAATTTTGCACACAGGATCTTCGCCTCATTTCATTCTGTCATTCTATACCCCAGCTGTGCCACTGGCTTAACTGATTGTAGGCTTTCTCTCAAATGTCGTCATGACACTAATTGCATTCTCCCAAACGGAGGCAATGGCGTGCAAATCGAAACACCGTCGGGCGAAACTTACAACCCGATAGGCCTACTTGTGCTTTGTGTATACTTGACACCTCTCAGCCACACATCTGACAATGTAAGGACATATCGCCATGACAGGACTGAACGGCTTACGGTATGAGTTTTGCGATTTGAATTTCTCCTGCTGTTTTAAAGCAAGCCCCACGTGTTATACAACGGCACACGACTTGCTGGAGGGACATGTCATTCTTTTTTCGGTTTCGAGTTTTAATAATTCATTTTTCGTCGATGTCATTTTGCCCCCAAATTCATTTTCTTACATTATAGGCCCTACTCGTGTGCATCACGGTACTCGAACGTGGAATGGACCATTTGTCATTAATTGTGCAAGTTCCCTGTATAAACCGACACAACTGTCCCAATCGTCACACTGCTGCTTCTTTGTAACGAACTCGATGAAGTTTTCGCTCTTTGCCTGCTGTATATACCCAGGACATTTCTTGGTCTCACAAACTCGATTCCAAGGTAGCCGTGCCACGAGTTGAATTGCACCTTCCAAGCTACCAATAAAGACGCAGGTTACACGCATACGTTTCGTGCGTCTTTGACCGATGGGCATTCGCATCTCGCCACAAAAACACGTGCCACTCAGTTAAGAACGAAGCACGATTTGGAGCAATATTTTGGTCGGTTATTTTTCGGATAGCTGCAGAATGGTCCACGCGCCTTTCATATAGTTATTGTAATGTTACCCATAGTTGCCTTTTTAGTTTACTCGTGAAGATCCGCCAAGTTCTACAAGTAGTTCACGTTATCCTAAACGAAGCACCTTCAAACGACCAAAAGAATCAGCAGATACAAGTAAATTCTTGACAAAATTGCTTAAAACTGCGCGCTCTGACTGATTGTAATATTCAATTCGATAAATTATTCAAGCCTTGAATTGTAATCGACATTATGACACGTCACCGAAATGATTAATGCCCGTTCAGTCGTCTGTTATTTGCTTTCATCTTCACCTCTTCGCTGCACAGGGTTTCATCCTTCACTGATAATAAAATGTTGTGTGTCCCCCATAAAAACAAAGACTGCCTTTCTATGGGTCATTTTGTTTGGTCCATTCAGTATCCGTAACCATTAAGTTATACCGCTTTTCACGCCTGTACCATTTCAATGAACGCTCCCCTCAACCTACTACACAAAACGTACTACACAGACAGACTCGAGGCGCACTGCACGAAAACCCGTCTGTGGAGAGCAGCCTCTAGGCACGCCTGGAACACGAATTTTGTTTTTAACCTCAGTGATGATCACAGGCTTTTTCGTCAGCTTGGAACAAAACGTGTCATCTTGTAAACAAACCCAAGAAGAAGAAGAAGAGATGAGGGAGACTGAATTAAATCTTCCAGCAATGAGCAGGTCATTTATTTCGTTCACTGTTGTAGATGTAGTGACGTATACAGTTATATCTCAGTTCCTGCACGTACTAGTTGACTAATTCATATGTAACAAATGAGTGTAGTGTGTCCTTTTTTTTAAAAATCAAGCAATTAACTTAGGAGTCTGCTGAGTATTGTAACTGCATTACCGGATGAAAAAACAAAACAAAACTAAAAACACAATGCAACATTTTCTGATCTTCAAAATATTCGAAGGATTCCCCCCCACTCATAGCATTTACCTTTTATTTTCTAGAAACAAAGAGAGAAAACAGTTTGATCAATTCGTGACGTACTCAGCTATTCGAGCGTGAAAACCAAAACGATCCAATAATGGATTTTCAACCGAAAAGGAAGATCCTATGACTGTTGTAATTAACACTTTGCAGTCTCGCTTATTCTGAAAACCTTTCGTGTGTTTCCATTTATAGAATGAAAGATGTTTTTTTGCCTGTTGCATATCTGTAAAGATTCTTCATCAGGCTCAAAATGGAAATGGTGTTTTGACCACGAATGATGCTCCTCAGCAACATCTTAAAGACAATGATACCATACCAATGCCA